GCCTTTAAAAAATGCCTGCATATCCTTCCTGCAATTACAGAGTTGGATGTTAATCTTAAGTGCCATACCCATACTTATCCTTAGTCATTTTATGAGTTTTGCTTCCTGTTTCCCATGTGTCTACAATATTTTGGGTCAGATGTTTGGAAATGATAACATCTGACACAGATGCTGAGAGGCTGTGATGTACTATCAGAGGAGTCAAGGCCAATGATGCAGCAGAGGAATTAGTCAGAAGGCAGATAAAGGGGATGGTTTAGGAGGGTGTGTTATGAGGGAATATTCATGGGCTAGAGAAGAAAAAGAAAGGAGAATGAAAAGTATAATATAGATGTGCCAAGTTGTGAGTGATTTCTGTAGACTGCAAGAGCAAGAAACTCAAAAGGATAGAATGATTTCATGTTTAAAATTTGCATGCGAAACAGTTCTAGCTGAGAGAAATGTCTAGGAATGGCCACAGGAAAAGGAGGTCAAAATGGAATAGAAGTGGAGGCTCACACTAAACTATTGGAAACAATTTGGCAATTACAAGGAAACAGTTATATCCATGTAATACAGCATCCGTATAAGGAGCACTACTGAATTAAAGAGGAATGAACTATTTATAAATACAACAAATCAGAGAAAGCTAATGGAGAAACAAAATTACTGCCCTATATAACTCACAGTGTGAGAAACAATAAAATGTTCTGACCCCCAGAGGAGAGCATGGTCATGATGTTATTTTCAGGTCAGTTCTGAATCAAGAGCTTGGCCAATCGAGTGGTTGAGGTCAGACTGAGGATAGGACTAAGAGACTTGTCTGGAGGTTGCACCTGTTTGGAAGGACCAGGTTTTTGTTTCAACTGTGTAATAAATGCTCTTTGATGTGAATGAATCTGTGAGTGAATGTTGATTTATTAACTGAAATTGTTTTTCAAAGTAAAAAATTACAAAAACAATACATACTTCAAGAGTTTTATTTAATGTGGTATTTATATACAATGGAATTTTATTGAGGCATAAAGAAGAATGAAATTTTGTTATTTGCAGGTAAATGGATGGAACTGGAGAACATCATCTTAAATGAAGTTATCCAGGTTTGGAAGGCCTTTTAAAAGCAGAATGATTTCGCTCATATGTGGAATTTAGAACTAATACAAATACAGCAATATTATAAAAAAAAAAAAAAACCTGGTCATATTAAGGGGAGATCACGTACAAGAGGAGGAGGGTAAAAGAAGAAAGTTAAAAAGGTGAATGCGGTTGATGTACTCTCTGTACAAGAATGAATATAGAATTTTAAAACCAATTGAATCCACCACAAGAAAGGGACTAAGGTAGAAAGAAGAAAAATAAAGTTGATGAACCAATTTGAGCTGTTACACATATAAACATGAAAGTGCCACAAGGAAACTCCCTGTGTAGCTACCTTAAGTAAAAATGTCATCTTTTTCTTTTACAAAATCAGAGAATAGGAGAGCCTGAGGGGTTGGTACCAGTGGGAAGGGGTAGGAAAGCGGGAAAAGATGTATGAGGGTGAATTTGATACCTCATCCAGCACAACAATAAAGAAAAAATACTTCTACACATGTATGTAAATGGAAAAATGATACCTGTTGAAACTATTCCAGGAATAGGGAGAGGGAGATAAAGGAAAATGGTGGAGAGAGTAAATTCAAGTATGATATATATGACATATTGTATAAGAACTTTTGAAAATACTATACTCCCGCCAGGAACAATAATAAATAAAATAAAATAAAATTTCAGGAAGATTTAAAATATAAAAAAGTTTTATTTAAGTCCACAACTATACATGTATTAATGATAAATAATTCTCAATGTTCATCCTGGTATTTTTATTGATTTTAACAATTGATACAGGCTGATTAAAGGTCAATGGGCTGTAAAATCATGTATGGATTCTCTTTCTACCACATGAAGAAATGTGTGCTCTGGCCAGGTCCTTCACTTCTTACATGTGTTTAGATCCTGCTGTTTCTCAGAATTCTGCAATATCCCTGAACTTTATTGTGCAACACATTGCCTCAGACATTTATTTTTCACAGACATTTATTGCTGTTGACTATCTTCTTACAACAATCATGGAAATAACTTCAAAGTTCCCTTTTGTCTTTCTTTTTTTGGTGGAACTGAGGTTTGAACTCAGGATTCAGGGCTTCATATTTGAAAAGCAGGCATTCTACCACTTCACCCATCTTCCAGTCATCTAAGTTCCTTTCTTATGAACACTTTACCTTTGCTACTTTTGCAAAAACTCTTTTTTTTTAAATTTCATTATTGATATGTGCATACAAGGCTTGGGTCATTTCTCCCCCCTGCCCCCACCCACTCCCTTACCACCCACTCCACCCCCTCCCTCCTTCCCACCCCCTCAACACCTAGCAGAAACTATTTTGCCCTTATTTCTAATTTTGTTGTAGAGAGAGTATAAGCAATAATAGGAAGGAACAAGGGTTTTTGCTGGTTGAGATAAGGATAGCTATACAGGGCATTGACTCACATTGATTTCCTGTGCGTGGGTGTTACCTTCTAGGTTAATTCTTTTTGATCTAACCTTTTCTCTAGTTCCTGGTCCCTTTTTCCTATTGGCCTCAGTTGCTTTTAAGGTATCTGCTTTAGTTTCTCTGCATTAAGGGCAACAAATGCTAGCTAGTTTTTTAGGTGTCTTACCTATCCTCATACCTGCCTTGTGTGCTCTCGCTTTTATCATGTGCTCAAAGTCCAATCCCCTTGTTGTGTTTGCCCTTGATCTAATGTCCACATATGAGGGAGAACACATGATTTTTGGTCTTTTGGGCCAGGCTAACCTCACTCAGAATGATGTTCTCCAATTCCATCCATTTACCAGCGAATGATAACATTTCGTTCTTCTTCGTGGCTGCATAAAATTCCATTGTGTATAGATACCACATTTTCTTAATCCATTCATCAGTGGTGGGGCATCTTGGCTGTTTCCATAACTTGGCTGTTGTGAATAGTGCCGCAATAAACCTGGGTGTGCAGGTGCCTCTGGAGTAACCTGTGTCACAGTGTTTTGGGTATATCCCCGAGAGTGGTATTGCTGGATCATATGGTAGATCAATGTCTAGCTTTTTAAGTAGCCTCCAAATTTTTTTCCAGAGTGGTTGTACTAGTTTACATTCCCACCAACAGTGTAAGAGGGTTCCTTTTTCCCTGCATCCTCGCCAACACCTGTTGTTGGTGGTGTTGCTGATCATGGCTATTCTAACAGGGGTGAGGTGGAATCTTAGTGTGGTTTTAATTTGCATTTCCTTTATTTGCAAAAACTCTTAACTGAAAATTGTGATGCCACTAAACTTTTTTTTATTATTCTTACTTAAAAGAGGAACGCAGATTCCCTATTACGGTTTATATTTTAGAATGATGTTCCTATCAGACCAAACAGCAAAAATTATTAGAAACTTATTTGCCTATGTTAAATACATTCTGTATATCAACTTTAGAAAAATAGACAAATAGGTGATACATAGAGAAGCAATGAAAATGAAAATGAATAAAACCCTCAGATCCCAATTTTCCAGAAGTCTCACTAGCCATTTGCACAATTACTGAATTGTATAGGGGTAGACAATTATTAATTTTGATCTGCACTGCATCCAAATAACAGTGGATTATTAAATTAAACCAAATTTAAAGGATTCCCATATACTTAGGTTTTTGTTTTTTGATGAGTTCTTTTATTCATCCCTGGAATATTCTTAGAATTCTAACTTGCCTCTACACGGCATCAGCATGGAAGTTTATAAGAAAATATGATGTTAGGAGAAAGCCGAGCTAGAAGAACTGACTTAAAAAGAGCAGTCTTCAAAGAAAAATGAATGCAGAATTTGAGATTATCTCCCTATAAGGTGGTTAACTGAAAATACTAGCACAGAACTAACAGAAGATGAAGCTTTCATTGCTTATATTAAAAAGAGGTAATAGACTATGTTTCAGCCAAAATAAACAGCACAAAGGCTAACAAGCACTTCAAAGCAGGTTGAAGGAGGACACTAGTCTGTGAAAAAAGGCTAAATCATAGCATTACTTTTGTAATATTTTCTGCATTGATTAGCAGAAAAAAAAAATCATGAATTTAAAGTGCTCAGTTCTTTCACGAGAAGCAAGTGAGATGGAGGAGAAACTGTCGCAGAATCTAAATCTATGGCAGCCTTTTCAGAAGAAAACCACCAGAAGGCAAAGTATAAAATTGGAAAGAAAGAATAATAGTAAGTCATTGTTCAGCAGTCAATGGGAAAAAGGACAATGTGCTAGGAAGTCTGATTTCTAATGATGTACACCAGCTAATGGGAAGCTTGTTCTTTACTATCAATATATTAGTTTGTGGCAGTTCTCTTTCAGTGTTATAATACACACTATCCCAAGGGATACTGACATTTTAGGAATAAACTTCTTAGAATTGTATATAATTAATGTTTTGCTTCACACTTTTTTAAACATTTATCACTTTTATGATGAGTACACTAAAAATCCTCTCTTCTATTATAGGAACATCATTGTCAAAATACTTAGTTTTAAGACATAGAGATGGAAATACAATAACATGTCACTCTAATTCACTTTCTATGATATAAAATGTACCTTCCAACTACACACTTTTCTTTAGATGAACTGTACTTAAACCAGGTTGTTTTAGTCCATTACTTGATTTTTTTAAAAAAATGATAACTCTTCTTTTGAATGCAGAATCTGATTATTTCTAACCACTCTGCTCCCTGCTTCCTGTATCCCTTTTCTCCCCAAAATTACTGGCATCCCCCCTCCATATATATGTGTACATACATAAATAATTTATACATAAATACAGTTTATCATATATAGAATTATACATATGTATATATAATATATAACCTCCCTGCTTAAGTCACCTTCTTTCTTTCTGTAATAACTGAAATTTTGTCTTACTTTAAAAAACTATCTGGATAAACCAAAATTGGTTTCTAATGATGGGAAGGGCCAGAATCATGTAGATCTCAAGATTTTGTAACAATGGCTGAAGTCCTACTGTGCCCAGATAGTAAAGGCAAAATGCTTCTCTGAATCTGCTTAGTCTTGATGCTATAGATGATGGGGTTCATGAATGGAGGAAAGAGAAAGTAGACATAGCTCATGGTAATATGCGCTACATGTGGGGCATATTTCTTGAACCTGTGGATGAAGGTCAGGCCAATCACAGTGACATAAAATACTAAGACACAGCTAATGTGGGAAACACAAGTGTTGAGGGCTTTAGCTCGCTCCTCTCCAGAGGCAATGCCCAGAACTGTCTTCAGAATTAGCACATAAGAAAGAACAATGACCAGAGCACCTAGGAAGAAAGTTAAGGCAACCAGAACAACTGAGTATAAGCGATTAAATGTAATATCAGCACAGGCAAGTTTCATGACATCTTGGTGGAGGCAAAAGGCATGTGAAAGGACATGGGAATGACAATATGGGAACCAATAGAGTGTCAGAATTGGGGGTGCAATGGACACAAAGCCCCTCAACACTAATCCCAGTCCTATCTTCATCACCCTAGAATTGGTAAGGATGGAGTTGTACCTCAGAGGAGTGCGGATGGCAATAAAACGGTCATAGGCCATGGCAAGCAAGACACCTGATTCTACGATGGCCAGAGTGTGAATGAAGTAGGACTGAGTGAAACAGGCACCCTGGGTAATCTCCCTCTGTTCCAGCAACAGGACACTCATGACTGTGGGCATTGTAGTGAGTGTCATCCCAAGGTCTGTACCTGCCAACACAGCCAGGAAGTAGTACATGGGCTCATGAAGGCTGTAATCATTCCAAATGAGAAAGAGAAGGGTGCCATTCCAGAAAAGTATGGAGGAGTAGATGAAAAAGAAGGGGATAGAGATCCAGTTATGAACTACCTCTAAGCCCAGAAAACCAGTCAGCAAGAAAGGAGCAGCACTCTTGTTGGACAACATGGTGGGTTGTACAGATGAAGAAGAGCTATTTTGGAGGATATGAATGATACATAAGTAACACTCTACCTGTCACCATCTTGTATCAAATGATCAGACCATCTTTCACCTCAAAACGTACAAGTTCTTTGCAATGACTCAGACTTAATTAAAAGTCTGTATTCATCAGACCTTTGGGAAAACAAGTAACAATAATAACAATCAGAATATTAATTGCAATTTACTGTGAAACATGCAACTTTTTTTTCAGTCCCACTTATTTTTATGTTTTTAGACTTGAGCCTATTCCAAAATTGCACACTTTTGGATTCTCTTCATTATTTTCACTATTTTATTCTTTTCCATACTATTTCTTATAGGCCTTTTTTGTTTTTCTATCCAATTTGGGTCAGTTTATATTTATTCTCCTGAAGTCAATGACATCTCAAAAGTTAATTAAAATGTTTAATCAATAGAAATGAGTACATCAATATGAAATGTTTGAGGCATATTGTTATCAATGTTTCAGTCTACAGTGAGTAAGAAGAGAACTAGTGACAGTCTAAGTGGGCTAACAAGCTGACTTTAGATAGCTATGATTGATCAGTGAAATTAGGGTTTAGCAAATTTTCATTACTGCAAAAGATTTGATTCTTGCCACACTGAAGACAAACTTTGAAACAGAAATAAAAGATTCACATGGGGAGCTCCCTAGGGAAGATATTAAGGAAGACAGATTCCTAAAATGAAGGTGTCCAGAGAAGCCCAATACTTATACAGAGCTATAAACTTTGAAAATTTCTTTATCTGAAGGGAAATAGTGATATTAGAAATTAGTAGTTGAGTGCATAAACTTTACACAGGTTACACAGGTTTATTACAATTCAACTGAATCTATATGTGTCCAGAATCTTTTTAAAAGTCATTTTCTTCTGACACCTCTGAAAAGTAATTAAGGAAGACTGAGGTGATGGCATTCCTTGCACCACTTGCATTTCATAAAGACATAAACAAAAATAAGTATATGCGTGACAGTTTTAGGACATGAGAACATCCCTAACAATGAATCACAGTGGTGGGGAGAGATGGATAGAGGTTGAATGAGCTGTGGAAATGACCCCACTTGAGGAGACACTGTCAATGACAAATATGTCATTGTGGGAACTGACATTGTAGATGCTCTGTTGATATGGGTACAGAAAAAAATGTACACTAACTTGATCCTCTGAATGGTAATTTGGGCCCAGCGTGGCAACACTTTTCTACTCCCACGTAGGAGTGATGTGCATATGATTATAAATTCCTGCCTACCTCAACCCAACGTTGTCTACTTTCAACATTGCCTTTATAATAAGCTAAGTGGATGGGAGAGATAGAAAATGAATAAAGGACACAACTAGTTGTGCAGGATAGGATAAGCCACCTATTTGGACTTTCTGTCACTCACAGAGTGGACCAGAGGAGCTGTTTTGAACCTTGTACTGATCAGTGTTGAGGTACTAAAACTGAATAGTAACTTGGGAATTGTCATTATAATGTATTAATGCATTTTTGCTAACTTATTTGCAGTTTCCAGCAGCAGTCACATGGACATTTAATTGTAGCAAACTTAGTTGTGCCAGAAACTATGTACTCAAATATGTGAGGAGAAATACCTGTTCAGATTATAGGGAGTCTGATAATGTGGAACATTGTGCTACTGACTCATAACTTTTGTGTCACCATCAAGCAAGGACAGAGGTTTCCTAAGAGCTGCAGACCTTACTGGAACTCACTATTCCCTTGTCTCTTTCTGAGGATCTTCTTTGAGCTGACTGTCTAAAGACTTCTAGCTCTCAATAATTTTTTAAAGTAATTCAGATACACCTTAAGAATTTCTTCAAGTTGTTATGCTGGCTAGGAACTGTTGAGCAGTTCCAACACCATGTATAAAGATATAATGAGTTGAAAATACAAGGTAAAAGATCCAATTAGAATCATAGTAAGAAAGTATGATGTTGTTTTCTATTTAGCTCCAGGTAATCTGCAAGCACATACAATCAACCAGTCGACATCTCCTGACCATATTCCTTTTACTTCAGCTGTTCCCAAAGATTCTGGGCTCATTTAAAATAAATTAGCTACATCTGTACACACATAAACACATACATTCCCAACTTGCCTTTGGGAGCCATGGGCTGTAGGTGGCAATCTGAAAGATCTCAGGGTTTAAGTAATTATTTAAGTCTTACCTTAGGTACTAATTAATATAGGAAGATCTCTATATAAGGATCTGGAGAGAAAAGTTGGGAACTTAGGAAGAACTTCATTTATGATAGAAAGAAAGAAGAGTGTCTCAAAGTAAATGGACAAAGAAATAGAAGTATACAGGCATGTAAGTGGATAGCAGAGGCAATCTCTATTTACCGAAAAATGGAAATAAAGATTATAAAAGTAGATAGTAGTATAATTTAACAGTGAAAAATATTAGTTGTCAGATAAGATGAAAATGGAAAGTGTCCATTGATTTTTGGACAGTCTTTGATAAACTTGAAAATGTCATTGGAACCATAGGAATAGATGCCTAATGATGTTGAGATTCAAAAGTGAATGAATGCAAGAAAGTAATGATAATATATATTATATTCTTTAGGTGAAGAAATTGAACTTTAGAAAAGTCAAGTCATTTACCTAATTAATTATATGTATGACATATATGAATTAATATATGACAAAGATGAATTCAAATTTTGATTCCTCTTGCTCAAATCTTTTTTTAAAAAATTTTAATTTATTCATATGTGCATACATTGCACCATTTCTTCCCCCTGTCCCCCACCCCCCCTGCCCCGTCCCTTCCCTTCCACCTCCCTTGCTTAAACTCATGTTCTGAAATAATATTCCTTAAACATAAGTCTAAGTTTGCCTTCCCATATGGTATATGTACTTTTCTGAAATCTTTGTTTAATTAAAAAAATACTTCCTGAAATCTTGACCTTTATTCTAGAATTGGCTGCAAAGCCAGGTAGAAAGGTTAATTTTAAACACTCTTTCTGCATTTGAATTCCTGGGCTTCTTTACCTGAATCAGTTTTCTCTGTGATGTCTAAACATGATCCAAGTACTGATCCTCTGTATATATTCAGAGTCTTCATGAGAGGTGTTTTTATTAAATAAATAATTCCCAGGGGTCATTCTAGCTCATTTACACAAAGGCTATTTGAAAATACAAAGTAATCATCTTTTTCTCACCCACCTAGGAAATATCTGGCCATTGATCTCCATTTGTACCCATGATCTCCATTTCTTTTCTTAATGGAGAATCTTTAAGACAAACTGTGTCTCTAACATCAGATGAGGCATAACCCAAGGCTTTCTTATGGGTCATAGAGTAGGAAAATTAGTCACTTCTTCCTAAATGACTTTTGAGGAGGAATATCCCATTCTCTCTTTTCCAAACTGTTCACATATTATGTTCTCAAAAATACTAGTAGTTTTAGGAATAGCAATCTGAAGATCATTCCAATCCAAACCTTTACCAAATCCTTTAGCCAACACCCAATGATTTCATCTTTATTATTGCTTATCAAATATCCTGTTGGTTGGAAATACACTATCCCTCCATTTATATGTAAATACTGATAGAATTATATTTCCCTAAAATATCTAATATTTACTCCTTATTTCTAGTTTTAATCTCTAGACTCAGATTAACTAGATCTAAGCAATCACATTCAAATAGTCTCCAGATGTATGAGAACATCTGTATGAAAATCCTTTAAGACTTATTTTTAATGGATGAGTGTCTGCTAATCATTTAGTTGTTTATTACATAATTATTCCAAATCATTATTCATTTCCTATGATGTTTCTTTTGTTTAAACATACTAATTCAGGTGTTGTCAGATCAGTCCCATTATGAAAATCTCCTCCATTGCAACATATGTTAAACTTCTATTTAAGCATTCCACTATTTTTGAGATCCAAAACTCTGTATTCAAAACCCCTGCCTCAAACACATTTCAAAACTCAGTCTTGCGTATTTAAAAAAGTAATAAAATACATGTCCTACATAGTTCATATGACACCCTAGAAATTAGAGCCCTGAGACCATTACCAGTATATACATAGGAAATTATAAAGACAAAACATCTTCTCACATTATCATTTTGGATCATATCAGTAGTAACTGTAATTCATAATTCATTTTGCAGAGACTGTTGGTTACAGAATCATAGTTAAGAAGTTGTAGCACTTTGAAAAGATTCATTAAAAGATTAATTCACATTTTACTGACTAAAAAATTCTGAAGTATTTTAAGTGCTTAGCATAAAGTATGGCACATGGTTGGTGCTCAATAAATGTTAGTTGAGTGGATAAATGCTGGAACGTAACCAAGCAAATTGTTTGTTGACAAATTGTAAACGTGTACATTTACAATTGATAATATGATTAACAGTTTCATATTCAGTCTTTTGTTTGAACATGTCAAATGATACTATTCCCTTTTCTATATTGCGTACCACTCTTGTATGTACAATTTTCATATCATAGTACAGAGAGAAATGTATAACATAACTAGAAGAGAGATTTATGTTTCTTTTTCTTTCACTTATGGTAGAAATTGTTTTCTCCATACTGACAGAAAGACTACTTTGAGATGCAGTGTTGATCCTAAATACACTGAGTCTATCTATGCCTTTGATCTACCCAGAATACTTATTAGCTGGACTAACACACAAAAAAAGACTTCTTTATTTCAATAAATGACTCTACTCAGATGATACTATAACATAAATTAAATCTATTTTCTTCTGTGTTTTATCAACTATATCATTGTACAGAAGAAGACAAAAATTGATATTAGTAAATAAAATATTGAAATTACTGAGCAGAGCTGTACATATTATCAGGGAAATTAGACCTAATGGTCAAGGCATAATATTAAGAGGAGACATCTTAGTGTGGTATTAGAGAAAGCTGACCTCTGGAGAGTAAGATTCAATGAAGTTATAAAAGGTACATCCCAATAAACCTAGTATTTAC